GACAAATGACATGATGATGACAAAACCTTGTCGAAACGTTGTACATTTGCTGTCATGTTAAAGTTATATTAAAGTTTTTCTTCATTACCCATTCAAGCCGTCTCCAGCCATTATTAGTCTCAAAGTGGGTTCCTCGTCATCGAATTTTAGATTATAACTCCATCATCTCTTGGCCAACTTAAGACCTAATTACAGCTTTGGACTCAGGAGGTCAAACCCTAAGGTCTCATAGATTAAGTTACTCTAATGCTGCCTGAAAGAATTTCAATTTGAGGTTAGGCTGGTAGAGATCCTGATGAGTAATAAAATCGAATCGGGTATATGCATGACCCACACTTGGTATTGCTGGCACACAAAAAATATAGCTAATAAAAAGGAAAAAGAAGGTCTCATAGATTAATTTACTCTAATGCTGCCTGAAAGAATTTCAATTTGAGGTTAGGCTGGTAGAGATCCTGATGAGTAATAAAATTGAATCGGGTATATGCATGCCCCACACTTGGTATTGCTGGCACACAAAAAATATAACTAATAAAAAAGGAAAAAGAAGGTCTCATAGATTAATTTACTCTAATCCTGCCTAAAACAATTTCAAGTGCTTCAGCTATTGAGGATTCTTTCTTGTTTTTATGCAATAATTAATTATGTATAATAGTTTAGGTACTCTGCTTATAATATGAAATATAATGCAAATTGGTGGCATTTTGTGAGGATTTTAAAGACAAAAAGGTTATTCTAAGGTGTAAATCCCACTCTCAGTTTAAAGAAAGAAAGTTATAATTTTGTAAATTTTTAATGTATATTATTCCAGTAATTCCTGATGAAACATAAATGAAAAAGAAAAAAAAATATGTAGATGGTATCAGTGATACTAATATTTCATAGACATCACAACAACATTGATGGGGGACATTTTATTTTGTGTTTCAAAACTACAACACTACTTAAGGTATCTTTGAATTTATCTATCTTTGTGCTTATCAACCTAAACATATAGATGGTTACTATAAAGATAGTTGAGTACACTGTGTATGAACAAACATGACATAAAACTAAGCCATACTACAACTCCAAGTTTATGCAAAATTCAAGAAAAATAACTAAAAGAATTAAACATGACATTGATCAATATCCAACTGTTAAATTGCACCATAATACTGATAATATTTACCTTCATTTTATTCTGAAGCTGCTCTCATGAAAAATAGTTCTGTAATCTAAATGTAAAACTAACAGAAAATTAAAAATGCACCCCCTGCATAAATTCAGATACAGTGATAGGTAAACAGACAAAAAGCTAGACATACAACAGAGACCATTTAAAATACATTCTTTATACAAACACACACACACACACACACACACACACACACACATATGTACATACCAAACTCTTTGTATTCACTTGTCTGTACCATTTTCTCAATCTTATAAACTGTATAATGCAGTATCTGTGTAAATAGATCTCAAACTGATGTATGTTTTTTCATGTTGTATGTATAGCTCTTTGTCTGTTTACCTATCACTGTATTTGAATTTATGCAAGGGATGCATTTTTAATTTTCGGTTAGTTTTACATTTAGATCACAGAACTATTATATTTCTCATATTTGAACAAAATATCAATGCTAAGATAGTGTGAGTTCACAATAAATATAAACTGGTAGTTATATATTGATATGAAGACCTTAATTTGTGATAATGTTGTTTTTATCAACCTTTAAAGGTGTCTGAACAGAAATGGTTGTCTTTAAAGATTTTTTTATGACTAAAGTTGTAATATGACAAGTTAATCAAAAAGATCATTTTATTGGTTTGGTTTAGAGCTTTGTTGGTATCATTTTGTACATAATTTGTTGATTCATAATTCAACATAATGATTTTATTAGTAATATTCTTCTGTCTTCTGACAAAATCCTTGGTTACATTTTCCAATGAAACCATCAAACTGATACCTTTGACTTTCATTCCCTATTATCAACTTCTTTACCAAGTATAGCTCTTCAGTTGATCTTATCATTTAGTTGAAGTTTGTTCTTTATTTTAACAAAACTTAATTATAGGAAGGAAAAAACAACTGTAAGTTTATTTTATTACAAGACTGGTGCATCTGTAGCTTTAAGGTAAGATCACTGTTTGACATTAATTTCTTATTGCTTAGTTGGAAAACCAATGCTGCTGATAAGTGAAAAAATATATTTATCGTGATAAAAAGTTTAGAAAAAACGAACTTTATACTCCAGTTGTGTGTATTAATCATGATGAAGCTGCAAAAGTGAAATATTGGTTAAAATAAAAAGTTGTTTTATAAATCACAGTTGTATATTTATCTTGGATGCACCCAAGTTCTGAAAAAATGCATAGAAATCACCCAGAATCAGTTCTAATTCTGTTTATTTACTACAGTGTTATCTCTTATGCATGATCAATGTAAGCAGGGAATGTGGCTAAAATAGCTGTCACATATTACACCTGAATATATTAAGAATTATTCATGTATAAAAAAAATATATATAAAACTGAAAATTCATTGTCTGAAACAGGATGCTGTTTCACAGGATAGTAAATAAGGATAATTTCTGAAAGAGGTATTGACACCATAACATCAGACCATCATTCTAGTAAAAAATGGCCATTAGAGACCTTTATGCAGTCTTTTAAAATAACACATTACATACTGCTATTTACACAAACGAATATTTGTAAAATACATCTTGAATTATCTTATTTAGCTTTTTAGTTTGTTTATCAAAAAACTGTAGAAATGTGTAATAGAACATACCAACCACACTAACAATTATGTGAAGTTTTTAGCTTGTGAACTCAGAGTGTATGTTTGTGTATATTTCTCAGCACTCTAAGGTATACTAGGTAACTTGGTAATATCAAATGGAATGTTAAAAATGTGTGCT